TTGGTGCAATTTTTGATAGTGAAAGTGATTCTTGCTCCTCACATTCCCAAGGTGACGAAATGGAGGGACAACAAGTGGATGTATTATTCCGTGAGTTTGGTAATCCGGAGAATTATGAGCTCACCGGTGGGATATTGTTACCCGTCACTGAGACTAACTTCACCATCCATCCTCAATACACACGAATGGTTCAAGCGGAGCAATTCTCGGGTTCGCCAAGTGAAGACCCCATTGAGCACCTTGATAGGTTCCTCGAACTCTGTACCATGATACAAACCAACCAAGTTTCTCAAGAATACATCCGGATGCAGCTATTTCGGCAATCTCTTGCGGGGAGAGCAAAGAAGTGGCTCAAGCAAGTCAAGCCTAATTCTCTCACGACATGGAGGGAAATTGTGCAAGCATTCTTGAAGAGATTCATCTCCGAGGAGAAAACCGCCGAGATGAGGAGGAAGATAGCATCTTTTGAACAAGAGGCGGAGGAGAGTCTTTGTGAAGCTTGGGAGAGGTTTAAGGAGTTGGTGCAAGCATGTCCTCACCATGAGTACAATCAAAGCTTACTCATGAGGTTCTTCTATGATGGTTTGGAACCGATGTCCCGAGCTAATTTGGATGCGGGAGCGGGTGGACAATTGATCAAAGTCCCTCAAAATCAAGTTGAAGCAACGATCGAAGAGGTAGTTAAAAATTACTCTTGGGGAGGAAGAAGGAAGAATGCACCAAAGAAAGGTGGGAAGTATGAGTTGGAGAAGGTCGATCAATTGCAACATCAAATTGAGATGTTGACAAAAGGGCTTGCCAAGTTGAATACAAGTGTTGCTAGTGGTTCAAGCTCCTCCCAAGTCAAATCTTTCTCTTGTCAAAATTGTGGTGGCACCAACCATGATACATCCTATTGTGGCGGGTTGAGCCCGGAGCATGTAGCGGCATACAACACAAGGCAAGAAGGGTATAGGGGAAATGGTGGAGGAGTAGCTTGGAGACAACCACCACCCAGATTTGCAAACCAACCTCAACAATGGAATCAATAGGCTCAATAACCATACAATTCCAACACCCAATATCAAAACCCTCCTCCATTCCAAACCCAAAATCAAAGAGGAAACTACCCAAGAAACAACCAACACAATAATCAACACCAATACCAAAATCAAACCCAAGCAACTCAAAGAAGTCAAGAGCAAGCATCTCAACCCGATTCTACTCAAACTCAAATTCTTCAACAACTTCAAGCCATGAATCAACAAATGCAAGAAGTCAAGGCTCATAACAAGATGGTTGATTCACAACTAGCACAATTGGCCGAGAGAGTTCCTTTTAACTCATCTTCCACTTTGCCCGGACAATCACAAACAAACCCTTCCAATATTGTAAAACCCGACTCTTGCAAGGCAATCACATTGAGATCGGGTACATCTTATGAGAGTCCCAAGGAAGAGGATGGTAAGGAAAAGGAGGGAGAAGAAGAGATGAGTGATGATAAGAAAGTTGAAGAAGAGAAGGTTGATGAGAAAGAGAAGAGTATGGAGAAAAAGAAGACTAAGGATGTGGTGACATCCTCAACTTCTAGTGAGGCTAGAAACCTTGATGGACCGGTTCCTTTTCCCGATCGGCTTGCGGAGAGAAAATTGAACGATAAATTTGCAAGGTTTCTAAGTGAGATGAAAAACTTACACATTAACCTCCCTTTCATTGAAGTTGTCACACAAATGCCTTCATACTCAAAGTTCTTGAAAGACATTCTCACCAACAAAAGGAAGCTCAATGATGAGCTTATCACTCTTCCCCATCAAGTGAGTGCACTTGTTCAACACAAAATTCCCAAGAAGCAAAAGGACCCGGGAAGCTTTACCTTGCCGGTCAAAATTGGGAACATGGAAGCTAGGGGTGCCCTAGACGACCTCGGAGCAAGTGTTAGTTTAATCCCTCTAACCATTGCTCAAAAGATTAACATTGAGATGATCCCCACTAAGAAAACCATTCAATTGGTCGATCGATCGGTGAAGCTACCTTGTGGCGAGCTTGAAGATGTCCCTATTCAAGTTGGGCATATCTATGTGCCATGTGACTTTGTGGTGATGGATATGGAAGAAGATATGGATACACCTTTGATCTTGGGCCGTGAAGCTCTTAAAACTTTAGGGGCGGTAATCAATTTCAAGAATAATACCATTACATGTGAAGTGGCCGATGAAAAAATTGTCTTTGAATTCTCTAAGCTACTCAAAACCCCCATGGTTGAGAAGTGTTATAGGGTCGATGTTGTCAATGAAGAGCTAGATCGTTTGGGAAGGGTTGTCATGAGTCCTAAAGATCCTATGGCCGAAGCTCTCACATGTGAGGAAGATTACTTCTCCCAAGAAGCAAAGGAATTTGCTATGGCCATTGAAGAAGCCAAAAAGGAAGAAGAGAACGGTACTAAGCATGATGAGCTTGAGCATAAGGAGGAAAAATTGGAGGAGAGTTCTAAGCCTCCTCCCAAGGTAGAACTCAAACCCCTTCCCCCTTCTTTGAAATATGCTTATCTTGGAAATGAAGGAGAATACCCCATTATTGTCAATGCTTCCCTTAATGGTCTTGATTTGGAAAAATTGATTGTTGTTTTGAGAAAATATAGAAATGTGATAGGGTATAGCATTGACGATATTAAGGGTATTAGCCCTTCTCTATGCATGCATCGTATTCACCTTGAGGATGATCAATCCACCTACATTGAACCTCAAAGGAGATTAAACCCCAACCTCCAAGAGGTAGTCAAGAAGGAAATTTTGAAATTGCGTGAGGCGGGTATAATCTATGCTATCTCTGATAGCAAGTGGGTTAGCCCGGTTCACGTGGTCCCAAAAAAGGGTGGAATGACCATTTTCAAGGGAGAAGGAGGAGAGGAAATCTCCACCCGGACGGTCACCAGGTGGAGGATGTGCATTGATTATAGGAAGCTGAACAAGAACACTAAGAAAGATCATTTTCCTCTCCCCTTCATGGATCAAATGTTGGAAAGACTCTCCCATCATGCTTTCTTTTGCTTTTTGGATGGATACTCCGGCTTTTTCCAAATCCCTATACATCCAAATGATCAAGAGAAAACTACTTTTACGTGTCCATATGGGACATTTGCGTACCGAAGAATGCCATTCGGGTTATGCAATGCTCCCTCAACTTTCCAACGATGCATGACTTCCATTTTTTCTGAAATGCTTGAGAATGAAATTGAAGTTTTTATGGATGATTTTAGTGTTGGTGGATCGTCTTTTGACACATGCCTTATTAACCTTGAAAAAGTTTTGAAAAGGTATCAAGAGACGAGTTTAGTGTTGAATTGGGAAAAATGTCATTTTATGGTCGAGGAAGGTATTGTCCTAGGCCATAAAGTATCAAAAAAGGGCATTGAAGTTGACTCGGCTAAGGTTTCGTTGATTGCTAAGTTGCCCCCTCCTACCTCCGTCACGGGAGTGAGAGCGCTTCTTGGGCATGCCGGTTTTTACCGGAGGTTTATCAAAAAAATTTCATCTATCGTCAAACCCTTAACCGAGTTACTCAAAAAGGATGTTGTGTTCAATTTTGATGAGGGTTGCCTTGAGGCATTTCAAAAGCTCAAGGAAGCCCTCATCTCTTCTCCTGTGGTGCAAGCTCCGGATTGGAGCTTGCCTTTTGAGCTAATGTGCGATGCAAGTGATTTTGCTGTAGGTGCCGTGCTTGGGCAAAAGAAATAAGGAAGATCTTGTGTCATCTACTACGCAAGTAGAACCCTCAACGAAGCTCAAAAGAATTATACCACAACGGAGAAGGAAATGCTAGCGGTTGTCTTTGCCATGGATAAGTTCCGGTCTTACCTCATTTGCTCAAAGGTGATAGTCTACACGGATCACATCGCGGTCCGCTACCTTATGACCAAAAAGGAAGCAAAACCGCGTCTCATTCGTTGGGTTCTTTCTCTCCAAGACTTTGACATGGAGATGAGGGACAAAAAGGGGGCGGAAAATTATGTAGCGGACCATCTATCGAGACTTCCTTTTGAGACTAAAGAAGACGTTCTTATCAATGAAGAATTGGGTTTTGAGGCCCTTATGGCCATTGCATCAACACCAAGCCCTTGGTATGCGGACATTGCCAATTACTTAGCATGTGGTGTCGTTCCCCCGGTGTTATCCTCTCAACAAAAGAAAAGGTTTTTCAAAGAAGTGAGGAGGTATTTTTGGAACGATCCTTATCTATTCAAGCAATGTGGAGATGGGCTTTTTAGAAAATGTGTTCCGGATCATGAGATCGAAGGGGTGCTTGAGCATTGTCATTCATTGCCATGTGGTGGGAATGGAGGAGTAGAAAAGACCGTGGCTAAAATTTCTCAATCTCTTCTATGGTGGCCAACAATGCACAAGGATGCCCACAAATTCATATCTAGATGTGATAAGTGCCAAAGAAGTGGGGGCATAACCAAGCGTGATGAAATGCCTCAAAAAAATATTTTGGAGGTTGAACCCTTTGATGTATGGGGGGTCGACTTTATGGGGCCTTTCGTTTCTTCTTGTGGCAATCTCTATATATTGGTGGCGGTGGACTACGTGACCAAGTGGATCGAAGCTATACCCTCGCCCACCAATGACCACAAGGTTGTGCTCAAGCTTCTAAAAAAGATCATCTTCCCAAGATTCGGGGTCCCAAGAGTTCTTATTAGCGATGGTGGTTCTCACTTCGCCAAGAAACAACTTGAAGCTCTCCTCAAACGCTATGGGGTTCATCATAAAATCGGCCTACCATACCAACCCCAAACTCAAGGACAAGTGGAAGTATCAAATAGGGAGATCAAGAACCTTCTTGAGAGGATGGTGAACAAGTCTAGAAAAGATTAGTCTCTCAAACTTGATGATACGCTTTGGACTCTAAGGACGGCTTACAAGACCCCAATTGGTACTACTCCTTACCGATTAGTCTATGGAAAGGCTTGTCATTTGCCGGTCGAGTTAGAGTACAAAGCTTGGTGGGCGATCAAAGGGCTCAATATGGATATGACCTTGGCGGGCGAAAAGAGGCTACTTAAGCTCAATGAACTTGAGGAGCTCCGCTATGATGCCTATGAGAACTCGAAACTCTACAAGGAGAGAACCAAGAGGTGGCACGACCAACATATAAGGAACAAGAGCTTTAAGGTTGGGGACAAGGTTTTGTTATTCAATTCTAGGCTCCGTTTGTTCCCCGGAAAACTTAAGTCTAAATGGTCGGGGCCTTTCACAATTTCAAAAACAACTCCTTATGGGTCCTTTGAGTTAGAAGCGAATGGGAACAAGTTCATGGTCAACGACCACCGTTTGAAGCTCTACCATTGCAATGATCAAATTGGCATGATTGAGTGCATGAGGCTCGATCCGCCGGATCCTAAGTCACTTTCTTGATGATAATATGAAATGGTCAAGCTAATGACCTTATAAAGAAGCGCTTTTCGGGAGGCAACCCGAATTCTCAACCCTTTTTGATTTTGTGTTTTTTGTCTTTGACTATTTTTGGATGATTTTTCCATTAATCTCTTATCGAGTGCGTTAGTCATTCTTTAGGTACCTTGATCTTTGGGTGCATGATCTATTAAGTTGGGTTTGGAGAAGAGAAGGAGTTTGGAGAAAGAGGAAGTGGAGATGCCCAGAGAGGACCCTGGAGAGGGCGCGCACAGGCCACCCGTGGGCGCGGCCCATAGGCCCGCGGGCGCGGCAAGCCCCTCCCCTGTTTTCAAGATAAAGCGGAGATGCCTGGGTCATAACTGGAGAGGGCGCGCACAGAAGGCCCCGCGGGCGCGGCCCGTAGGCCCGCGGGCGCGGCAGGGGTTTTCATTTTTTTCCACATAAAATGGAGATGGCTCAGGGATACAGAGAGCGGGCGCAGGCAGAGTTAGCCGCGGGCGCGGCGTGCTCCACCGCGGGCGCGGACAGGCACCGCCGCGGGCGCGCAGTTCCACCCCGCGGGCGCGGCATCCTGCAGTCCAGAAAAACAGAAACCTGAAACCCTGAAGCCGCGAGCGCGGCATACGATTTTGCGGGCGCGGTCTGAGCATGCTGCGGGCGCGGCCCTTCAGGGCTGCGACTTCTCCTTTAATTTTCAGCCATATGCCCCAAAACACAATTAGTTTTTTTCCCTTTTTCTCTCTCTACTCCTTACTCCATTCCAAACCCTAACCCATTCCTCTTAAATTTCTCTTCCTAATTCATCAAATTCCATCAAATTTCAACAATTCCCTCACTCTTCTACAATTTTTCTCACCAAAAATCTGAAATTTCATCCTTTAAAACCCCCAATTTCGGTATTCCTCTTTGTGTGGCAATTTCTTTCACCATTGGAGGGTTCTTGGAGGAAGTCTTGATTTCTTCTTCAAGGGGATAGTAGGAGCAATTATTGGTATCCATTTTGGTATACATTTCTTCCTTACTCTCATTTACCTTTGAATTTGAAACATGCTTTTGGTTGAGAAATTGTATGTTTATGAATTTTCATGTTGAAATTTTTGATTGGTGCATGCCTATATTGTATTCATTCATCATCTTAAGCATTATTAATTGTTGAGTTGTTGTTTGTGTTAGTTTGTTCCTTGTCATAGATTGCTTGCTTGTTGTTTGAACTTGGTGATTCTTAGTTTTGGAGATTGTTGTAGTGTGATTATTGTGAGTGATTGTTTTGGAATTGGACTGCAATTTGATATTGGTGACAATGGTTTTCGGTTCTAAGAAGAGAAAAAGTGGGAAGGAACTCCAAGGTTCATCCTCTTCCAACCCCCAACAAAATGAACCTACACCCCAAACCGCTCCACCACCTCTACCACCCCTCAAATTCCACAACAAAAACCACAAACCCATCTATGACAACCTCCTAAATAGAAAATTGAGACCAACCAAGCATTACCATCACTCCACCACAACCAAGCTTGGTATCGATGAGGATTGTTGGTTCTTGTTCAACAACCTCGGACTCGGTTCCTTTGTGTCAAGTGCCTATCGAACCTACAAAGAGCCTACCCTAGAGTTTCTTGCTTCCTTCGAAACTCATGCCGCAGGAGATAATGATCTCTCCATCTCCTTCCAACTCTTTAACAAAAAAGAAACCTTCACCCTCCGCCAGTTTAACCAACTGCTGGATTTCAACCCCGATGCCGATATGTTCTTCCCCGAACATGCAGGCCTCCATGCTTATGAGCCCCTTCACTGGTGGAAGGTCATTTCGAGAATGGACGCCTTCAACTCCAAGTACTCTTTAGCCAGTCAGATCATGCACCCAACCATCAGACTTCTGCATCGAATCCTTGGGTACACGGTCTTTAATAAACAAGACTTGGGGAAGATTACAACCGAGGAAATCCGACTATTATGGCTATCTACGCAGCCGGAAATTGGGCACAGAATGAACTTCGGGTTTCTATTCACCAAATGCATTGAGAGTGTCCTTTCGGGTATAAGGAAAGGTGAAATTCATTTTGGAGGGATGGTAACTCGGATAGCCGAGAAGCTGGGGCATTTGGCTAAGCTCGAATCTTGCACCCCCGTAGGGAAGAGTGATGGGAGTGATATCTGGCTCGACCTCGACCAACTAAAAACCATGAAGTTCATCGGAGATACCGAGGATCGAGGAAAGACTTGGAGCTTACTTGTCTCCCACGAGCACCGCCCAAGCCGGAATTTACTTCTTTCACAAGGGAAGGAGTCAATTACCCATGGTGGGTAAAGAAGGACTCAGGTGTCCTTTCTAGCGCTAGGATGGTCACGGGGGAAGGGTCCGGCTAAAGAAATGAGGGCACAGAGGATGAGTTCCACCAACAACAACAACAACAAGGATCAAGGCAACAACAACAACATCATCAACCTGACTACCAACAACAAATGGAGGCAATGCGAGCCCAAATGGAAAGCATGCAACTCGGCATGCAAGGTATGTTTGCTTCCCACCAACACCTCTCTTACCAAACCAACGCCTTATATGATTTGAGTGTGGGTAGAGGGGATGTCACTCCCCCGGTCAACTACCCTTATGTGTCGGCCCAACAAGGGCCCGTGCCATCTTGGGGGGGTGACAACCTACCTACGTACCCATATTGGCAAGGGACCTCGGACCCTACTGTGCCTAGGCGTGATTTCCCTGATGAGTTCGGTCATTATGATTATCGGGTTTCGGGTGGGAGTGATTACAGGGGTGATCCTAACTACCCCTATGTCGACTCCTCTCACCCCGACCCCCTTGTCAAACCCGAGCCATATGACCAGTTATCCGCGTCCCAGCTTGACCTCTTCAAAGATCATTATGGGTGGCCACCTGGCTACTCCGGAGGTTGGGACCCCTATGGCCCCCCATCGGGTTTCTCCTACGACGATGGGAGCGCGGATAACGACGGTGCCGGCTCTAGTGGCCATTAGTTTCCCCCTTGTTCTTTTTGTTCCCTCCCTTTGTCTTCCCCCCTATTACTTGTCCTCACGCCGCATCGAGGACGACGCTTTACTCTAGTGTGGGGGGGGGGTGTCTGAGTCAAAGGAGAGTGTTAGGGAATGCTTGAGGCGAGTGTGGGGGAAGGCACCTAGGACTCAAGGGACTATTTAGGGGTTTTGGGTGTAGGTGTCGTTGGTAGCGTTGTTGTTGTCTGGTGTCTATGATGTCCGTTTCTATGATGATGATGATACGATGACAATGTTTTGATGATAATGAATCTATAATGATGGGATGTTTGGGTAGTAGGTCATACCCAAAGAATTTAGTGCATGGATTTTTTTTCTCTCTCTCTAGTACTAACGCTCTTTTCTTTGTAGTGCTTGCCTTGTTTTTCTTTGTTTTCCTCTCTTTTATAGCTTGGAAGAAATTGAAAGCGACATGTGGAGGCACGGTAAATTGCTTGGTTGCTTTATTTTTTTTCTTCAAGAGACATTGGTGAGATCTTTCCTTTACTTTTCTTTTCTTTTCTCGTGTCGTGATTAGTTTAGGCTTTAGCTTAGGAAAGAGTTGAATGGTTCGAGGATGTTTGCATGCGGTTCCAAGGAACCTGGGATCGTTGGTATTGAGACCGAACGATCACTTGTATGTCGATTGGGATTTATTTGAATCTTTAAGCCTCTCATATGAACCTTCTTGATTCTCTCTTTCCTTTGTTCTACTTCCTTTTGTGTGATAAGCATAATTATGGCATGATGATATGAATGTGTTTTGGAACTTGCTTGCTACATTTGGATTCTATCTCCGTGATGATGCATCCTTGAATGTTTGTCCTTTTTCTTAACTATGTGATGAGGTGCACATTTCGAGATTGTTGTTGATTGAATTAGACGAGCCTTAGTTAAGGTAGCAAGGGTAAGAACTTGTGAGGGTGTTTGAACCCCTAGTTCGCGGGATGTGGTAAGATGGAGTTGCTCCCTGTAGTGGATTTGAAGCCCTCTAGTTGGTATTTTCTTACCTTTCTCATCCCTTGTGAGGTTCTCTTGTTCATGCCTTCATCAACTTGTTGAGCGGCGTATTAGGATCCTCGACTATGCATGTTTGAATCCTTGTGTTGACTATTAGCTCCCAAGATCGCGACCTTGGACTTTTGAGAGAGGAAAAGGGCACCATTTCTCATTTTTGTTTATTTTCTCTTTTATTTAGTTACAAATTTGATTTTTCTCTTTGCATCATCCCTCTTGCCAACCAATTTGAGCCTAATGTTTTCCCATTCTTGTCTCAACCTCATTACAAGCCTAGCGACCTATGTTTACTAACCCCTATTAGTTAATGAAGCAATGGCTTTGCGAGCCGAGTGTGAAAGAGCGTCATGAATGTGAACGTGAATCATTTGTGGAATTGGTTTGTAATTCTAGAGTTGAATATGTAAAGAAGTTTGGAAAAAAAAAAAAAAAAAACCTTTATTTGATGAAATGAGAAATTTATTTATCTTGTATATATACTTAAATAAAGGGTGGTGATGCGAATGAAATCAAAATGTTTGGATATTCGTTTGAGTTGTGGTTATGTTTTGAGTTTTGACCTTAAGGATCCCCCTTTCTCTTGCTTCACTTAGGAATTACCGCCACTATTTCAAATTGAATATTCCGACCTCTACCTTAAGTCATGTCAGTACAACCCTTGTGAAGCCCCTTTGACTTTAAGAGTGCATGGTCAACAACCAGTGGAGGGAGATGGTTCTCAACCCTCTGGAAAGAACGTGCATAGTTGAGATGTCGGGATGATCTTTTACTTCCTCAAATTAAATCTTTTTCCGGTTCCTTCGTGGAATCATGAGGAGCCATCTAGGGGGACGATTTGAAGCTAGTGGGGAGAACGCGGACCGTTTTAGAGGGGATTAGGGCGAAAGATGACTCACTAGTTCTCTATGCTTAGTTGAGGCTCGACTCTTGCAATCTCTAACATCTTGAGGCGTGCATGCATCACGTAGTTGAGA